ACTTCGTTGTCTGTGTAACCCTTACTTTCAATGATTAAAATAAACAGTTTTTCTACATAATTCTACTAAATAACAATATTGTCAGTTACCATATTTTCAACCTCACAGCTAGAAACTCATGAAGTTCTTTCAACCTTCTACCTCAATAGATTCAAGTGAATGCAAAGCCCCAGGCGCTCCTTAGCGACCTATCTTCCCACCCGCTGCTGCTAATCCGACATCTGTATGCGCAGTCAAACATTCACGTGTTCCGTCGTCTCCTCGATCTCGGTCCAATCTCCCATTGGCGCTGGAAGCCATTGCCGTTTGCATTTCCAGCGAATCTCCTACATACTCCCATCGCGCCCCCAACTCACGCGTCCAAGACAGCCATCCCTGCCCCTCCTCGCTATCAATGTCCTTTCTGTGGCTTTCATGGCCTCCTACAATGCGAATGACCCTCCTCCTGGTGGGCTCCAATTTCCGAGATGGCAGCTGGAGGGACGGACACGTCAGCACCACCTGGGTACCCATAACCAGCATGTAATTTATTATCTTCATTGCGAAACCCCTTAATAATATGTTTATCATGAAATGTTTTGAGTAAAACAGTATGGAGACTGTGCTTTGGATACATTACTACAGGTTGTAAGGAATAATTTTTCATCATTTAGTATGTACTTCTATCATTTATACATTTTATTGGTTAACAAAGTCCGTCAAGCACAATGCTGTGATTTTGACAACATTCATTGAATTGTATTTTAATCTATTTATTCGGAACATCAACAGAATTGAAGATAATTTCATTTTGATTGCAGTGTTATGCTTTTTAAAGTGATTGTATTATACGTTTTTGTAAGTCATTATAAAATAAGGATATTCAAAAATATATTATATCATTTCATCTGCCTGCGAATTTCAACGGAATTTAAAGAGAAGCAAGCCATATAAGGACTGTTCAAGTACTGAACGTGTATATTTCTTTCGTGTAAGTGGACATAAGTGTTTTGTTAAAGTTCACGCACTGTTAAAAAATTAAGGAGATAAACAACTTATTTTTCTCTTTCTTAAAAGGAAACAATAAAAGTAAGAATTATTTCACTAATATATCGAGTTTAATATTAATTTACAATGAATAGAGTAAATACAAGAAGACTGACTGAAGCGATTGCATTTATCTTTTGAGGCGTATACATTTTGCAGGAGCCGGGGGGGGGGAGGGGGGTACGCAGCTTACATTAAAACCTTGCGCATGAATGGAAAGTGCGCAGCGCAGCTCGTCCAGGTCGCTAAGAGCGACGGCGGCGCCCACCGCAACACATTTCGCCTCCTTTGATTCGCGCCACTCGCCTCCCCCCGGGCTGCTCCAACTGGCGTCGAGTCCAGCAACACTTTCTCCACTCCGGCGGGCCCCTTCCCACGCCTGCAACGCCGCCGGGGGGTTCGGTACCCGAGGGGGGCAGGGCTCTCGGGCCCCTCCGCCGCTAAATGCCGTATCGATTGCCGAGTGACAAGTGGCGGCGGCGGAGCGGGGCGCGGGTGGCGGAGCGGGTTGGTGGCGGCGGGCGGGGCGGCGCGGGGCGGGGCGCGGAAGGGTGGCGAGGCGAGTCGAGGCGAGCGGCTGCGCTGCGAGGTACAGCGCGTTGGGCGGCCCACGGACCCCGTCGTCATGGCGCCCACGGCGATCTGCCGCCGCCAGCTCTTTCTAGCGAGGAAAAGGAAAGGGGTCCGACGCAGACGTGGAGGTGGGATGGGATGGGGTGACGTGGAAAGCAGTCCGGTCATCTGAATTCTGTCTTTTGCTCTTCTACACTTCGTGGTTCCTTTACCTTTCTGTCTGTTACTTTATTTTCTTCGCTCCCGGATTTTTTCTTTCTTCTTTTTTTTGGGGGGGGGTGCAGTTTTCATTTTGCATGTTCTTCTACGTGTTACGAAGTATTTCCTTTATCTCTCTGCAGTCTATTTTTTCTCCTCTCTTCCTCCTCTTTCTCTGTCTCTCCCTTTCTCTCATATTGTGTTATATTCTCTTTAATTTCTTACCTATGTCATACAATTTCTCTTTCTCCTTGCGTAGACTATCTCTTTTTTCTTCTTTCTCATTTGTATCCCTTTATTCAGTACTGTCAGCTTATCTTTGTTTCTAAATTTTAAAGTGTGTAGACTCCGGGCATGTGATAGGTGTTTTTGGTTTTATTAGGTACTAAGGAACACGGAAAAAGGAAAAAGCAATGAAACTGTTTCTATTTTGACTGCCCCTCAGCGTCGAGTTAGCCATTTGACATACGCCTTTTTGTCTTGTGCCTTGCGCTTCTCCTCTCCTAATGTAGCTTCGCTCCTTTGGCATATATCCTTCATATTAATTCAGTGTTATAAGAGATTCAGTGTTGTTCTTCTTATTTGTTGTTCTTGAGCAGTGTGCATGTTCCTATTTGAAAAACCATGTTGTGTCATTTCGTTCAGCAGCATTTTTACTGCTGCAAGTCACCGTTTCACAGTTCGTGAATTCTGTTATTTTTTACTGTCGCCTTTGCTACTCTTATTTTTACTCATTTTTTACTATTACCTCATTGCCTTCGAGGTGAATGGATGAAAAGATAGTGTGGATGAGTCAGTGAACTCTATTCTGCCATCTATCCGAAGCTCTTCGTTTTAAACGCTTAAAATATCTAAAGGAGGGTCGCTAAGACAAATTTTGGGGAAGTAGTGGGCGACGATTTGCTGCTACTATCACACACTTTCTCATATCTATGCAAACGAATGATGACCTGTGCATGTTCTATCCCAATTGCCAGAGACCCGATGCTCATAGTAGCTAAATGGAAAATCAAGCAAATGAGGTAGGGGTCACCATCATACATAGCCTTGAATCACTGCTTTTTCTGCTGATGACAGAAGCGACTATGAAAGTAACTAAAATATTTCCGAGAATAAAAAGCAAATGTGAGAGTACAATAAGAGACCTACCGCTATTACATCAGCGCACCGGTTCGACCCGTGCGGTGGAATTGCTGTCGCATTTCGCTCTGAGGAAGGTCGCAGAAAGATGACCGAAATTTTGGCACCTGATCGTAGGACGCTGCGTCTCTCGGACAGCCAAGAAGCTATATACCCGTACGGCAGCAACCAACGGCTGCTTTGCATCTCTATATACCGTCCAAATCCCGGGCAAATCGTGTGAAATATGTGATGGACAAGCGGGTTCGCAGCCGGTTTCTTCGTTGTTATTCTCTCCCTGTGATTATTCTTCGAACTGTGATGGTACCCTCACGAGTGCAAAGATTACGCGAGGCAAAGAGGAAGTTCAAAACAAGTAGCGGCGTAGGCTCTGGGGGGAATGTGCAACTGCCCATCGCCGAACATAGGGAAACAAAGGGTACTTCTCGAACCCAAAAACGAGCGAAAGGGCTTCTGAACCGGGGCTTAAATTAATTAAAGAGCTCATTTCCACAGTGGCATATATGATGAAACACAATTTTTCAGGAAGCTAAAGAAATCACATTCGAACTTATTCTTCCGGATAGGAAGAATAGGAAGAAGATAGGAATCAATGGACTTCCGATTCCGTTCAAAATAAAGTCAATGTCAATTTTGAATCCACTGCTTGGCAATATGATGAAGTTTTTTTAAAAAAATATTCATAAGTAAAATAGAACCAACGACAATGGAGATACGTCATGTTGGCAATAAACTCTTTTAATTTCAGCCCAGTCTACCCGCGACGGCGCGTGTGCCATTTTTTGGTTGGTTGGTTGGTTGTAATATCGGGTGCGTCAAAGCATAAAGTCATTATTCCCGTAAGCGTAGTGCATGTTTTGCCGCGGGAGGTGCGGGTGATCTTTCCCCGCTGAACGGTGAGATCCGGCACCGACCTACCGTCGGCTAACGGAGTTTTCCTCAACCAGGTATCGCCCACCAGCAGAGCACCGCCCCAGCCGGGTCATGCTCTAAGCGCCCAAGCGGTCTCCCGGCATACTCACAATCTATTCGTTGTTTAAACCGTTACGAGGGCAAAAATAAACTCACAAATACCCATGGTGAAAACCACAACCGTCCTTCTTTCATTCGGTCGGAACGGGATCATCTTATGGATTATTCTGCAGGCTTCTTTCACGTGCCCCACCCGGAAGGTCACTGCAGCGGGCTAACAGAGTCGCTCCGCGGGGAGGGCGGGGCGCCGGTGACTAGAAGTCAGCGCCGTGGCCGCCCCGCTCCCCGCCTTATCTGGGAGCGGCTGCGTGGGCGGGATTAGGGCGTCGGACAATGCTCGATCGATGGCAATAAACCGGGGGCGGTAATCCCTGTCGGGGCCTGAGGGTCGTGAGCGGCCGCACGGGGGGGCGCAGGTGCAGGCCGCGCCGCCCGCGGCAGCATAAAAAGGATTTGCGAGCGCCGCCCGTGGCCCGAATAAAGCGGATTCCCGTGCAATCTCGCGGGCGGAGGGCGAGAGGAGCGGTGCACGCGCGGGGCGGGGCGCGGGGTGGATGGCAGCGGGCGGTGGACGGAGCGGGGAGGGCCGCGGGGTGGAGACAGACTGGGGAGTGGCGGGGAGGACAAGGTGGGAGTGCTGAAGACCGTCGGCCATATTGGGCTGTGATGAAGCGTGCCGGCACGTGGCGGGTCGGGAGTCTGGCGTGGCGTGGCGTGGCGTGAAGTGAAGTGGGCGGTGGGCGGTGGGCGAGAAGTGTTTCAGGTGTGGGCTGCCGCGCTGGCGAAAGCGGCGGATAGGGGTGAATTGGAGAGCGGAGGAAAGCGAAAAGAACGTGTGCTTGGAAGCAGGTCGAGATGGGGTGGAGCAGGTTAGAATATGGAGAGTGTCAGGGCGTGTCATTGCAGAAGGCGGGTTGAGGCGCGGTGAGCCGGGGTGAGGCGGAGTAAATGATTGATTCATTCATTGATGGTGATTCTGTACGTGTCAACGACTAAGGTAGGTCCCGTAAGTGTGGAGCATATTTTCCTAGGGAGATTCGGTGACTTCCCCTACGGTGATTTCCCCCGCTGGTTGGCAAGATCCGGTGCTGATGTACCGTCGGCTAACGAGTCGTAAATTTTCCTCAACCAGGTATCACCCACCAACGGGGCACCGCCTAAATGGGACATGCTCTAATCTCCCGACCGGTCTCCCGGCATGTCTCGTATGTTACTGCTAGAGCATATTAATGTAGTAAGTGATGAGAATAAGACAATGAAAAGGAAGGAACGATCGTGCGCAGTCTGTTAGGGTACTGCTCCGGGATTCACCTGGAGTTGATCGGTGAAACCATGGAAAACTGCCAATCAGAGCTGTCAGCCTCTAGAATCCAGACAACCGACCTCGACCTAGGTGACAAGCGAGTGTCAGATATCCTACCACCGTCGAGACGGGAACCTAGACCCTCGCGTTCAGAGGTACTGCAGTGACATCAGTTAATGCCCTGAGCCACCTCTCTCGGTGAGGCGGGGTGGAGCGGGATGGGGCGGGAAGAGGTGGGATGAGGTGGGATGAGGTGGGATGAGGTGGGATGAGGTGGGTTGAGGAGGGATGAGGTGGGATGAGGCGGGATGAGGCGGGTTGTGGCAGGTTGAGGCGGGTTGAGGCGGGATGAGGGGGTTAGGACGGGTGAGGAGGGATGAGGTGGGGTCAGGCAGGGTGAAGAGGGATGAGGCGCGGTGAGGCGGGATGAGGCGAAGTAAAGCGGGGTGAGACGGGGTGTCCTATGGTGTCGCGGGGTGAGGAAGGGGTGAGGCGGGGTTTGCGGTGCGCACCGCACAGGGCCATAGCTTGGCGGGAAGTGCGGTCGAGCGGGGCGAGGTGGGCGGTGGGCGGGAGGAGCGGCACGCGTGCGGGTGCCGCGCCGGAAGGGCGGTGAAGCCGTCGAGGGAGGCGTTGGCGCGTCGCGGACCGCAAAATAAGAAGTCGGGGGCGCGCGGTCGTGCGCTGGAGCAGCTTTCCGCGCGGGGTGGGCGCGGGGGCAGAGGTGATGAGCAGCGCGTTGAGGCGGCCGGTGAGCACAAACGGGGGAGAGAGGAATTTCTTCCTAGGGCGCCTCTGAGATTTAGAATTTAGCGCAGACTCTTCTGGTGACGGATATTCCAAAGGAAACACTCTTCGTCTTCTCATACGGTTGACGACGTTAATAGCAACAAAATGTACGTCACAACAGAATCTCAGCCAAGTAATCCGCCAGGTAAACAGAGAGCAATATTGTCAATTGGAGCACATGGCAACAAGCTTGTTGCTGATACAATAAACGAGTTTTATTGTTTGAAACAAATTAATAAAATAGTCGGATATAAATAATATTTTCTTGTAGATATAATATGTACGATCCGTTTGCATTGAACACAAGTAAGAAGAGGGTCGCACATGACAAAAAGAATAGTAGGACAAACACAATGAAATCCTAGGATAATTTCGTACGTCGTGTAGATGATTAACATAACCTGCAAGAACTGCCTATTAATTGATGAAACATCGAAGTAGGGCAGAAAAAGATGTCACCAAGGGGGCAGAAAAGTAGGGCAGAAAAAGAAAGCACCAATCAATATAATATTGGAAGAAGTGTGGTTTAAATATTACAAAAATATATAGTAAGCTCTCACCAAAAAGGAAATTCACGAGATAGTACGTTCTCGCGGAGTGAACCCTTTTGATATGCAGGAATTTCAATATGCGTTGAAGAGAACAAACACTAGAAAGCTACTCGCATTAGGTAATATAAACTTGGAGCTAATAAAAAACGGAAGCAGCTTCCTACAGTTACGTTTACTATATCTATTCAATATGTAACCGTTCACGTATTTACATTCGTGAAATACTTCACTGTCCACTCAAATCAAGATAACTATTGATTTGCGCAGTGTTTGACACTGCTAGCACTATGCGTAATATTGAAAATATCATCGAAGTAGGTTTGATATCTCGATCGACCTGAACGCTCCCCGCGTGAAGGGTTGACTAGAGTTGATCGGCCCATTTTACCAGAGGGGGGCTGGAAATAACAGGAAGCTTTCGTGAACAGAGGAGACGGAAGATCTGGAATCGCTTTCCAATCTACTATAAAAGCACACCAGAAAGGCTCTAGCAGATAATTATTCTACATACAGTATTTTCTATTGTGATAAATTATTCGTGGAATTTTGAGAAGAAAATATGTGGAATTTATGATTAGAAAGATGTAAGCACGTGGAATGTCTCACAACCATACGTTTTTCTCTTTCACAAGCTTTTGTTTTTTGGTTTCCGTTCTTTGTTTTATATACTTTTTTAGATCTCTATTTTGTATACAATAATTCCAACCATCTAAGCAAATGATGAAGGAAATGATATTTCTTCAAAAACTAAATTGGAGCTGATTTACGAGTGCATTTCCGAAACCCATGCACCTTCGTGACGACACGTGGTAGGGGAGGAATTTCCCCGTTCTGCTGGATACCTCATCTGCCTCTTCCTAATGGATAACGGAATATGATGATATTCAGTTCATTTTATCGGTACTATACATACTATGTTTAAAGACACCAAAATGATGATGGATCCTGGCATCGAAACAAAATTTATAGTAGAAATCAGCAACCAACCAAGGTGTTAAGCATGGTCGTACGTTATCACTCGCTTTGCGCAACGTATTCAAAGACAACTTATTATGTGAATGGAAATAAATCGCTCTTTCAGGACTAAAGATCAATCGATTTTAATTTCTAAATACCATGCTATTTGTAATGACCATATTGTCATAACAGATCATACAGGAAATAAATATCATAAGATATAAATATCAATCAGATCATGCAGACCACAAATTTCAATTACCTATTCACAACATAAATCGGTTACTTTAAACTACAACGTAAAATCTACCATATCAAAGACAAAGACCATGGTGTTCCTAGGAGAAGTTTCGGTACGAACAAAAGTCGTGACCGGCCATTAAAATATCGAAAAAGTATCACATTTCAAATATTTGAAAAGTGATAAATTAAATAAATAAATAAATAAATAAATACATACATACATAAATAAATAAATAAATAAATAAATAAATAAATAAATAAATAAATAAATAAATAAATAAATACAGATTTATAATGATTGTTTGTATGAAATATAATTTTAGTTCTGTAATTTAAAGGATTAGTGGAAAGAGAGAACATTCTTTCACAACAGGAAAAAGTGAGTTCATAGCCTATAATGAAAGACAAAACAATCTTCTATACTCTAATTCATTAATGATGTGTGTAAATGCTTCAATATTTAATAGGAAGTTATTAATAATATGACTTTTACACTGCAAGCATATTGTATTTCTAAAACATTTACAAATATCTCAGAAACATATAAATAAAGGATTGTTCCCTTATCCTCTAATCGATTTAATAAATTTTTGATTGTTCATAATTGTCCTCAAATTTACAGACACTTGTTTGTTATTAATAACAAAAATACAATTACTACAGGAAACATCTCTCTGCATTTACAACCTTATCTCCCCGAAAATAGTAAAATGAAATAAAAATATAGTATGACAAAGTTCTATCTGCACTAACAACTTTGTCTCACTCTGAAAATCCATAATTGAATGACCAAGTTCTATCTGCAAAATTAAATATTCAAAATTACTTAATAAGAGGTGCAAATAAGCGATGAACAAATGCAAATTATAAGTTCACTTTTCAGGATATTGTTAAAAAAAGTGTAAGTCTTAGTAATAAAATGTTCATATTACAGTAAATTGAAACTGTGAAGCTTCGTTTCTCGAAATCATGATAAAGTCAGAACTTTGTCAAACTAAAGTCACGATTACCTTTGACTCTGCCTCGACTCTGACAGGAAGAAAAGAGGAGTTCGAGTCGCGGAGTTGGCGGATTTTTTACATTTGCTGTATAGCTAACTCGAATTCAGTTTCCATCTGGGGGAGAATTTAAGCAGGTGGCGGTAGTTTCGTGATTTCTCTGATCAATACCAGACGAATGATGGAACAGCACCCTAACAAATGTCCCCCGGACCGCGTGCATTCTTTCTTAATCAATCCTAGTCCCCTTCTCTTCACTTACACACATCCTAACACTAATCAAGCACTACAGTGCCATATATGTCGGGAGATCAGTTGGTAGGTTACGACTGGGTGGTGTACCGCTGGAGCAGATACTGGGAGAGGGAACCGACAAACCGACGTGTAGTTCTGCCTCGAATCTCTCGTTCTGGGGAAGAGGAACTCCGGCACGGATATACACCGGCAAAGGTGGATCAGGGATTCCACTGAGGTCACTGCAGTGCCTCCGACCGAGAGGTCCTAGGTTCGAGTTCCGACGGAGGCAAGATTTTTTGACACTACAGTAGCGAAATCGAATTCAGCCGCCGTCTGCAGAAGAAGTCTAGTGGCTGACTGCTCTGATTGGTAGTTTTCCGTGGCTTCTGCGATCAACACTAGGCGAATGCCGCAGCAGTACCCTACCAAACGGGACACGGTCAGCGCGCTATCTTTCCTTCCTCTTCCTTGTCCTATCCTCGCCCCTTACGTTCACACGAGAATGCACTGCACTACCACAATTGTCGGGATACCAGGCGAACCACTTGTACTCGCGAATTTTTCGTACATAATTTACTGCTTCTCTTTTGTATATCCCCGTCGTTTCTGACAACCCTTGCTACAGAATGAGAATACTTTCGAAAAATCATTGTCCGATGGTGATAGTGACACATCCCATCACGCCGTTCACGTGAGGCAGAACCTGGGGATTTGAATGCCCGCGCGACTGCCGCCTAGCGGAGAAAGACAGCGCTTCCTAGACTCTTCGAGAGTTCAAAGAGAAAACAGTGACGATCTCGTGAACTGGAAGTTCCGTGCCCAGAAACTGTCATTCGGCTAATGGAATTTGAAGTGCACAGACGGAACGTGTGAGGCTGGGAAACTTTGAACTGAGCCAAGGCGGAAGGCGTCGAGACGTCACGCGAGCCAACTGGTCTCCCTTCGCAGCCACGGGACTTGACCTTACGCGTCACGGCCTTCAACTCTCCATCAAAACCGGGGACAAAGCTGGAGGGTGCTGCAATAGGAGGCGCCGGGCGCAGCTGCAGGTTAGGTTCGCCAAGTTTCCTAATTACAAATTGGCTAATTTGTGAGAAATACGAAACGTGCCTTCTAAATGTTCAATTATTTATAATGTAAGCAACGCATAAGAAACCTCTGCAGAAAGCGCGAACATCATCCGGTAATCTTTTGTGACATGCTGCTTTGCGTGACGCGAACTCGCGCAGCAGACACGCACGTTTTAAGTATCGTTGGTAGCAGTTCGTATTTTAGTTCGTGTTGCGAGGTACGTAGGTGATTCACGTCACATTTTTTATTTTATTTATTATTTATTTCATTGTATTTGTCAATTTTTTCTTATAATTGTGTTGTATTTCGTTTTGCTTCTTTCATGTTCATTTTTCATTTTCCTTCTCCTTGCTAGAGACATTCTAAAGGTGGGAAAAGTGTTTTCTAGAAAGTTACTTTGGGAATGTTATAATAAATAAATATTATAACTTGATTGTTGTGGAAAATTATTTCCTATTTCATATTATGGATTACCACAAGATATCTGCTACCACAACGGAAATTATCTACTTCTGAGTCTGGTTCGCACAATTATCCAATTATGCTGATCGGAAATGTGTAACGCAGTACAGTGTGTGGGAAGGTGAGAGGTCGGAGAGAAGCCACGTCGGGTGGCATGTGTCTGCTCTGTATCTTTATCATAATACACGAAGATACTTTGTTTTCGCTCTATCCTCCAGAATCACAGTTAAGTTTTGTGTAATGGTTTTTTAATAGTGCAAATCTGTCATTATTCCCTAGCATGATACATTAAGATAAAATGATCTTCCACCAGGTTTCACACATAAGCCGAATGTCTTTTAATCTGCTTAATTGAGTACTACGTTGGGTTTCATTAAGCATGAAAAACTATTATTTTTAAACAAAACAACACCATATTGCCAGAGAATATTTAAAATTAGATTCCGTTAGTTAAAAAAAATGAAGCGAAGTATCGTTCGACCACTCTCCGGAGTAGGAAATGAACTCACGGCCGGAACCGGAAACCGGACCGTGTTTTGCACGTGACGTACAAAACGCGCAGATACAGTGATGAAGAGCGGTGTCGTGTCGCCCGCGACAGGTTGATGGACAACAGACGGTGACGCGCAAAACCGTCGAAGTGGGACCGGGCCCTAGGTGAGTGAGCTGGTGGCCGGATGAGAAATGCTGAAGAACGGGAGACCGCGTGGGCGGGAAGGCATTTCGTTCGGGTAGACGAGGGAACGGGAAGACGAGGGAACGGGAAGACGAGGGGACGGGAAGACGAGGGGACGGGAAGACGAGGGGACGGGAAGACGAGGGGACGGGAAGGCCGGGGGCGGGAAGCTTGAGGACGAGGAGGCGAGATCACGGGAAGGCGGGAGGACGGGAAGGCGCGAGTTTCGGATGGCGGGAGGTCGGGATGACGAGAGGACGGCAAGGCGAGAGGACGGCGAGGCGAGAGGACGGCGAGGCGAGAGGACGGCGAGGCGAGAGGACGGCGAGGCGAGAGGACGGCGAGGCGAGAGGACGGCAGAATCAGCAAAGCGAGAGAACGAAAGGTAAAATAATGGCGAGGCAAGAGAACGAAAGTTAAGAGAATGAAGGCGAGACGATGGAAAGGCGAGAGGATGGGAAGAAAAGAGAGAGGCAGGACTAGTGAATGGAAGGATGAGGTGAGAGTCAGAGGAGGGGAGTGCGAGACATTGAGCAGGTGGGCGGGCAAATGATGAGGCTGGCGGGTGAGCGGGCTGTGTGCCGAGCGGGACCGCGGCGAACATCAAGATCGGCGTTATCGACGGGCGCGCCGCCCCCCCGCTCGCTGGACCACGCGTCTTGCGCGCCACGCGGGCCTCCGCTCCCCGCCCGCCCCTCCCCCCTCCGCCCGAACCTCTTTCGGATGCGGGCGCCTGCACGGCCGGCGCGGCGCTGGTGAATGGCGCGAGCGAGCGGCCTCTGACGTAAGAGCAGCCGTCGCGCATCACCCGATGAATCTCGTGCACTTCGGAGCCGCAACATTACGTCGCGCAAAAATATTCACGAGAAAGAACGTTTCATATGGTTCTCCTAATAGTACCTTCTGAAATGAATGGAGCAAGTAGAACGACTGGAATACGAACAATAGCAGCTTTTTCTTTTTTTTTTTTTTTTTTTTTTTTTNTTTTTTTTTTGCTTTCAGCTTTACAAAAAGGCCACAGTCCAAATCCTGCATTACACAATGCCGGGATAGAACAATACTACTCGCTAGAAGAGAAAGTCCGTAGCCGTTTTACAAGTAAAGACGTAGTCACTGACAATTAAGAAATAAAGCACTTGCGTAGTCGCCTAATAAAATCCTCAACAATAACTTTAAAGCACCCAAGCACAGTCCACTTCTGATCTGCTTTTCCGGGCGCCAGGCCGCTCGTTATGTACGCGTCACCCCTGCTGGCCCAGACTTCCCCCACGGCTTGCTGCTTGGTGGGAGCGAACTGTATCGCTTTGCTGAACTGTAGGCTTCAATATAGAGCGCGCGCCAACTTAACTATATTTATTAGACTAAACTAGATTTATTTAGAGATTCACTGGACAACTGGACAGGTCGTCAGCTGTTAGTGTCATCCAAGCGGGAGCTAACAAATCACTACAGTGACGTCACTATGGTGATGTTCAACCTGCACCCCTCGTCAGCATATAGCGCAAATTGACAAAAGGTGTGATTGCTGTACTTGGCTGAGAACCACTTCCTCATCTTCCGCATTCCCCTGACCTCGCCCCTCAGACTTCCATCTTTTCCGCTCTCTTTCCAACCACATTCAGGGGCAAAGTTTTCCTGATGAAACTTCTCTTGACCAGTGGCTAACCAATTTTTTTCAGTCAAAACCAAACAAGTTCTACAGACGAGGCATTGAACTGCTACCTGAACGTTGGCAGAAGGTCATAGATAGTTGAGGTGAATACGTCACTGGATGATTGTGATTGTTAGTTACAGTGCGTGGCAGTAATATAAAATAAAATAAAATATAATAATAAATAAAAAAGTGGTAAAAATTAAATAGAAACTTGATACAAAATTAATAAAAAATAAAATGCAAATAAAAAAAATAAAATAATAAATAAGCGGATCAGATGCCGAAATCGCAAAGGCAGTAGTGCTCTAGTGCTCTCGGACCAGAAGGTCACGGGTTTAAGTCTTACCTCGGGCATGGGTGTAATTGTGTTTGTTTGTATGTGTGTGACGTCCTCTCACTCCTCATAATCATAATCTTTTCATTTTCCATACCCTCAGGGCTAACAACCCCGGGACGTAAAATGAACTTAGCAGAAATGCTGATTTCCCCTAATAATATTTCTCTTGCAGAGTTCTCGCACGGGGGCGATGGTGGTTTTACAATATAAAATATTGCAGAATATACAGATTGTCACGGATAAATGTTACAAGCTTTTCGAATATGATGTGATCAAAAATAATCATTCATTGGCAAATAATATAGTACAGAAAGAAAAATCATATAAATATTTAACACGTGTGAATTTTTGCGTTTGAATAATTGATCTGATTCTACATTGGTGTTTCGCGGCTCATGTCCTGACACAGGCAATGGGATTTCACGCACGTGCCGAAAACCATTGCCTAACAATCAAGGATAAACTTAACTTGCGTAATTTGGTTTTATGAAATTTGTCAGACCAGTTTAGGTAGATCAGGTCATAAACTGGTGTCCTTGCTATGCCTCTGTCAGGAAGGTCGTAGGTTCCAGTCACGTGCACAGTGTGTAACTTTGGCCATCTGGCTGGAAAAAATCCATTTTCCAAAGTACTCAAATGCATTGTTTGGGATATTTGTTTGATTTTGAAAGATCCGTAGATGATAAAATGGGAATTGATTTTCTTATGAATTGCTTGAGGTAGCAGTAGAACAATCTGTAGTAGTCAAGTAGTCTGTCTATATGGTATTGGTGATCAATCTGCATCAACTGGCACATATAGGCATTGACGAATTGTGTTTTAGAAAGATTTTCTTTTTAATAGTGCCTCAAGATAAGTAAAAATGGTCTTGATTGATCATGGGGTGTAATTTTACAAATGTATCTAAGCTTTTAATACAGAATTTACCATAATTGACTCTTATGGCTATAAAGACATTAAACATAGTTCTTTTTGCTATTTAAATCATAAAAGATCAGCTGCGTATACCTGCGGAATCCAGTGTTTTTATGTTTTTTCTCAGAGGAGCGCTCAATTTCTCGGTGTCGTTATTTAATGTTTGATGCGAAATCTCCACGGAGGTAAGGTATGACGCCGTACCTTCTCATGTTTAACAAGAATTACGTGAAGAATCTATTAGAAACACTTCAATAAGAGTGATGAAAACTCAAATTAGCGATTTTTGTCAGTTCATTATCAAAAAATTGGGAAAATGTGCGACGCATAAACAGCGTTTTATTGATAAATTACTCATTACTTTCAGGAACATATCAAATTTTATACAATCCTATTTTATACATTTTATTGAAAATTGTTCCAATCACTTCAAAATAAGATTATGTTATTATAATGATTGACCTCCTAATGAAACGTTTGTGTTTCTATAGTTTTGAAGGTAGAAACAGGAAGTAAAACTGCTGTTAAACTCATCCACTGAAAAAACTGAGAAAACCTACTGACATAAAATTAAGAAAAGAAGGTGAAAGAGATTCTACTTACATATAGAAAGGAATCTTCAATTGCTTCTCCTATCAGATGTACAACAATTAAGAAAGGTCACATATTGTTGCGTCAAGAACCATCTTTAAAAAGTAAAGGAAGAATATCTTTCCTTTGAAATATCTTTTCTTCATTCGTGGGTAACGATATTTGAGTGTCACAGCAACTGGAAATGCAGGTTGTAACGAACAATACGTTGTGATGAAAATAAAAGAAAAGTATCACAAAGGAACAAAAAATTTAAGAAAATTTCAGTTATTTAGTCGACAGGCCTAAAACACAAGGTGGCAATAATAATTTAGAAATAACTGGAATACAGATGGACCTAATAAAGGTTTTGGAGTCATTTTATAATGCCCAAACAGTGGTGAATAAATTAACTTAAATAAATTTTGACAAATATATTAATGACACTTGATACTTGAATCATCAACTAATATTACAAGCCCGTAATTCTCCATAAAATTATATTCCATGGAAGGAATACAATAAAAAGTTGCAATCTCTCCATTAAACAGTTCTCAGAAGAAAGTCAAGAAGGAAGAAAGAACAACAACAGAATGTTCAGACAACTATTTGCAAAAATATATTGTAACGTCGTGGGTAGGGATCCACGCCACAAGAAAAACAGACACGAGCGAGTACATACAAGTTCATTTACATTGATGTTCTTATTTACAAAACTTCACTCTTAAGGCGGTTTGTGAGAGCTACTACTGCAGCCCTCTCTTCCTACATTCGCCTTGCGACGACGCCTGCGACAGGCCTGCTAAGCCGACTCAAAGATTGGCACCTGGTATGTCCCGGCATATCGACTACCTGTCTGACAGTGTTCGAGCAACGCGTCGCCTGGTTTGAACACATCGAACCACCATATGCCATCGGCACTGCGCACCAGCCTACCGGACAAAGTTTTGTGGACTCGCCACGAGGAAACCAGAGTTGTTACCCCCTCACGCCATCGCGACGCGACGTTATATAGGCGCGAGTCACATGACCTCCTACGTCATTTCTCCCCCCTCCACGCGCTTGATAGAGACATATCTGGCGTTGTCTTTGCATGCGGCCCCGTGTCTTCTGGAAATTCTAGCCTTTTGTTCGGGCAGCTTATTTTAGAACCCTGAACCCTCTACTTTGCGCTTAAGCGCTCAGCTGCTGCATAGCCGTGACGTTAAATATCGAGAGTAGACGGTGAACCTGATCTCTTGAACAGGATTCTCATAACATCTGATAAATACTATATTGCAAATTTCCAGGGTTATTCAAAACCAAAATATAAAAAAATATATAATTAAAAGATGGCTAATTTACTAGATCTTGATCGAAAAGATACTGAAGAAGTAAATGTCATTACTTCATACGGGGATTGTTCAGATGGAGACTGAACTTTTAGTGATTCGTAAAAACATTTTTGACTCTAATTCATTCATTTTTTTCCTCATTGGCTATTCAATATTTTTATTTTCTCTGTTCACTTCAAAGTAATAATATAACAATTTGTTTAATTCATTATTTATTTATACTCTTAAAATTGTATTTCTATTGCAATTACATTTTTCTTTCTCACTTAATGAATTGATACATGTTGCTCGACTTTTTATTTTTGCAAAAGAGAAAATGTGTCGTCAAAATATTTCAAACGAAATTGTTCCATATATTACCATTATACTTATTTTTAATACAGGCTTTGTATAACAACTTTGTATAACATTGTATTTGTAGATTTCGACTTCTTTCCACCTAGAGTGCCAAAATTACACCCTATAAGGTGGCAGGATTTTCGACACTAGCTGGTCACCTAGGTCGAATTCAACCGCTGTTCTGTAATGTAGTTTTCCGTGACTTCTCCTATCAACAACAGGGGAATACTGGAGCAGTGCCCGAACAAACGAGCCATGGACCGTGCGCGATCATTCCTTCCTCTTCCTTGTCTTATCCTCACCAATTACATACACATATTAACACTTACATGCACTATACTACCATACATGCCACACATGCCGGGAGACAGGTCGGGAACTAAGAGCTTGTGCCAGCTGGGGCGGTACCCCGGTAGTGAGTGACCTCTGGTTGGCGAAAACGCCGCTAGTCAGCAGGTAGGTTGACACCGGACCACATTGAACGGGGAAAGATCACCACCACCACCACCACCACCACCATCACAACCACCACCACAACCACCACCACAACCACCACCACCACCACCTTCCGAGGGAAAAATGCACTACACTTAAAGGACTAACAACCATA